AAGAATCATCTCTAGGTAACTCCATCACTTGGGAGGCTGAATCAGGAGTACAGTAAATTCAAGTTAACCCCGACTACATAGTATGACCTGTCTCAAGTTTTTTACAGCAAAAAGTTTCAGCATTTATAGAGAAGCAGTTTTGTAGAGCTTTTAGAAGTTGGTGGCTAAATTGTATTTCTGTTTGTATTTTATAGTTCTAATCCAGCATAAGTGTAGCATCTGTGAATGTGTGCTGGGTTTAATAGAACACACTATGGCCATTAACACTCTTAGATGGGATGAGTGAATACATATGGTGGAAAAAGGGAAAGAGAAAAGATTTCCTGATCTGACGTAAGTCCTATTGTTATATTCATAGTTGTTTTCTAATTTTAGGGAGTGTGTGATTAGATTACTACTGAGTTAGGGAATTCAGGAGAATTTGTGGTCAGCCCGAGGGAGGGAGACTGACTCCAGTATCCCTAGGTGTGAGGGAAGTGAGACTGGAATAAGATTTAGTTTAGAGCCTAGCTTGGCTCCTTGTGAGAAGTTAACATGGGCTATATTTTTATGCCTAGGGTAATATATACCTACTATAAGAATTATCACAGCTAAGTGATAAGTACCAAGTACAGTGTCACATACACTGGGCATACTTAGGTCTGAGGCAGAGTCTGCACTGGCCAGCTCCAGACAGTTGTGCTGACTCTTGGCCTTTTAATGTCTCCTCCTTAAGAATAAAGTGGCTTTCTTCAGACTACTGTAACTGAACAGTGTCGCCTGAGTGATTTATAAACAATAAGAATTTATTTGTCATGCTTCCAAGAAAAAAGCACCAGCAGAATGGTGTCAGTGAAGACTTGTTTCCTGGTTTATTGATGCCCCTTTAGATGTGTCTTCATGGTAGAAAGGCAAGGCAGCCCCATGGAGCCTCTGTAAGACCGCAGTCCTCTAATGAGGGTTCTGTCTTCATGACCCAGTTACTCCCCAGATGCCATCACATTGGTGATTGGGTTTCAGTGGACAAGTTCTATGGGAATACAGATTTTCAGGATATAGTGGTGGAATTGTAACTGGTGACCGCTTTAGTACTTCAGTACTGTTTTACTTTTTCAAACCTTGTAAAGCTAAGGCTTACTGGGATCTAATGACCATGCAGTCAGTGATTTTTGTTGACAGCATAACTTTTTGGCAAACAAGAACTATATAGTTACAAATATATATGTTTATATGTAAATGGCAATCATAATCAGGCATCATGTAACATAAAGTTCTTCCTAGATATTTTTAGTCCTGGTAATGAATCATATAATTGAAGCCAGTAAAAATACTTGGGTAGAGTAAAAAATAGAATGAATTTGAAGCAGCAAAGAAGGCATATTAAGTCTATTTACCCTCAGTACCAAATGGTCGGTCACAGCTATTCCTGTATTACTAAGCCAAAGATAGAATGATGTAGGTAGGTGGAATAAAGTTCATTTGGAACCATGGCATCTTCCATGGTAGCATCTAAGGTCAATCTAGAAAGAATTGTTTTGTTGTAGTTAAAATAAATCGAGTCTGATATTTGAAAGTTGGAAAGAAAATTACCTTTAAAACAAATCCCAGAAACTGACTGACGCTAAATGACTGCACTGAGAACTGTAAAACTTTGCTGTCAATCCTTTTCATTAAACAGTTAATGTGTAATTATAAACATAACAGAAGTCAGCTGTTCACACGTGTGTTGAATGCCTTATTTATATGGAAAATCATAAATTGAAACAGTGGTACAAAGGACAAACAAGTAAAAATGCTTTTGTAAACCACAGTGGATAATAAATAAATTAGGATGGGAGAGAACAACAAAACTGCTTAACACAGTCAGTTCCTATGGGAAAATATGTTGTGTGTTCTAGTACCTGACCCCATCCCCCCAAAGTACAGGTCTTTCCACCCCAATTTTACTTTGTTTTTTTAAGGTTTCTATTTTTTTGTTTCTTTGTTTATAGTGTGTGTGTGTGTGTCCCATGTGCAGGTGCTCGTGCAGGCTATAAGAGGATATCAGATCTGGAGCTGGAGTTAGTTATGATACAGGTGCTAGGGACAGAACTTGAATCCCCTACAAGAGCAATAAGTGTTCTTAACCACTGACCTATCTCTCTTGTCCCCAAATTTTATTTTATTTTAAGATTTATATCTTTGTGGTCAGCCATATATGAGTAACCAAGACCAGAAGAGGGTGTCAGAGCCCTTGGAGCTGGATCTACAGTCAGTTATAAGCATCTTGATGTGGGTGCTGGGAGCTGAACATGGGCCCTCAAGAACACCAAGTGCTCTTAGCTGCAGAGCATCTCTTCCAGCCACCTAGAATTTTGTTTTGTTTTTATTTTTAAGACATGCCTTTTTTGTGTAGTCCTGGCTGTCCTGGAACTCACTCTGTAGATAAGTCTGGCTTTGAACTCACTTAGTTCCACCTAGGATTAAAGGTGTGTACCACCACCACCTGCCTTAGCATTTATTTTTAATTAATTTATTTGTGGTGTAAGGAGTGAGTCTGTGGCTTTACACATACTAGGTGATTACTGGCCTGAAAAATTGGTGTTTCCCTGGGTGCTCTGCCACTACTGCTGAGATTACTGGGATCCACCACCAATTCTGGCTCTTATAATAAGAGCTTGTATATAGTTCAAATGAAATTCGTCAGTTTTGTTTACTGCTAAACAGGCCTTAAATTAGCTGTCATCCCCTGCCTCTCCCCCCCACCGTGTGTCTGGTGTGTGTGTGTCTTAGAAAAGCAGTGTGTTTAAGGACTATAAAAGTAAGGAGTAAGCATTTCCAGAAATGCGATCTGAAAGTTAACCACCATAGCTTAAGTGTGGTGTAAGGGTTTACATATTGTGGCTTTTCTTACTTTAAAAAACAAAACAAAAATATAGTAGTTTTATGTAGCCTTTGCTGTCCTGGAACTTCCTCTCTCTCAGGCATAACTCTAACGTGAACTGATACATCCTGCCTCTGATGATATTTGTTACTATATTAGGTTTGGTTTTTTTTTTCGGTTTATTTGTTTTTGTTTTTTGAAGACAGGGTTTGTCTGTGTAACAGTCTTGGAAGTCCTCGAAAACTCACTCTGTAGACCAGGCTGACTTTGAACTCGAGGTCCACTTGCCTTTGCCTCCTAAGTACTAGGATTAAAGGCATATGCCTACAAACTCAGCCTTAATTTCTTTTTCTTTTCTTTGTTTGTTTGTTTTTTGTTTTGTTTTTTAAGACAGGGTTTCTCTGTAGCTTTGAAGCCTGTCCTGGAACTCATTCTGTAGACCAGGCTGGCCTCTGCCTCCCGAGTGCTGGGATTAAAGGTGTGTTCCCGGCTTAGTTTCTCTTTCTTAATTAGTATTTTTTTGTTATTATAGAGTGGATTTCATTATGACATTTCAAAAGTATCGTACTTTGTTTTCACCCTTTCACCCCATTTCCCTCCTGTGTTCCTCCCTTCAGAATGTTTCTTCTGATGACATTAGGATTGCCTAAGGGCTGGAAAAGTTCATAAATCTAAGAAGAAATAGAGTTTCCTTATTAGTTTGTAATTATAAACAAGTATTTGTATTTACAGATAAGTCTGGATCCTTGCACCCTCTAAAGGAGAGCTGTATCAGTTCTGCTCACCATTTAACATATTAGTAAATACTTGAAACACAGGAACTAATAACACCCAGGAACATTTTAAAATGAAACCTGTGGTATATTCTTGAATATATCTAGAGATTTAAAAATCCTTCAGGAGAAATGGCTTGCAGTGGATTTAAGGGGTTGATTCTTGCCTCCTATAACTAATGCCATGCTAAAGTGTGGCATGTCCTGATTTCAGAAACTTGTTTCAAGGCTTTGTAATTTATTAAACCAGCAATCACCTAAATTTCTTAATGCTGTTATGTCATAGCTGGAAAGTTCATTTTCTCCTTTTCTGTCCTGGTTGCTCTAACCTTAAGCTAGCTAGGTCTGCACCATGCCCCCCTCCTTTGTGGGAGGCAGTGGAGGGTAATGGAAGAACTTTGTCTTGGAGTTTGTGGAACTGCATTCCAACTACTATTCTGTGGAGTTGCCGGGAGGTGAGACCCTCCCAGAACTGTGAATTTAAAAGTAGATGCTCAGTAGACTTTAGACTCAGACTTAATGAAGTTAGTGCTGTTGGCCCTGGGTAGTGGTCGGTACACCAGTGACCACAAACCTATCAGTTCACCTCTTCCTTTCAAGCCACATGTCCCCTCTTGGTTTTATTTTCGTCGTATTTTGTGTGTAAGTGTGTGGTGCTGGGGTAGAAACGCCCGGCTACCAGTATGTCAGGCAAGTGTTCCGCCAATGACCTGTATTCCCAGCCCTTTCTTGTTTTAAATTGCACTGTCTTTTGCTCTATCTGATCATAGATAGATCTGTGCCCCATACCTCTGAGTCTTAAGTTATATACCACATACTCAGAATGTAGACTAACGCTAGTGCTCTAACTTTTTCATACTTCTGTGTGTATGGGTGTTTTTTTTGTTTTTTGTTTGTTTGTTTGTTTTTGCCTGCATGTAGGTCTGTGCCTTTAGAGGGTGTTGAATCCCCTGAAGTTACAGTTATGATCCTTTATATGGGTGCTGGGAATCAGCCCCAAATCCTCTGCAAGAGAAGCCAGTGCTCTTAGAGCATAGAGCCATTTCTCTAGCCCCATCTGTGTCAGTGATTTTTATGTGTGTGTGTGTGTGTACACATAAAACAAAATTCCATTTACCTTTTGTTTGTTCCTCATACCAACCAAAAGAGAAGTGATTCTGTTCCTTGGTGTCTCCTAGTATGGTTATTACTGCTAACCTGGGGAGTCTTGTTATTTGTTCACTGTGTAGACTTTGAATCTCTTTGTTCAGGGTCATATATTTCACAGGGCAGGTGCTAGAAAAAAATTTAAGATTATAGTACATAAATAATCTATAACACCCCCTCCAATAACTGCTACCAATTTTTTTAATAATGTGTGTCTTATATTTTTCCATTTGTTCTAGGTTTTAAGAACTTTAGCTCTCAAAATGGGCAGAATCTTCCTTGATCATATTGGTGGTACCCGTCTGTTTTCTTGTGCAAACTGTGATACGATCCTGACCAACCGCTCAGAACTCATCTCTACTCGGTTCACAGGCGCCACCGGTAGAGCATTTCTTTTTAACAAGGTTGGTAGAAAAAAAAGCTTCATTCTTACATACTTCAGTGGATATATTTGACAGTAACACTAGATTATTCCCTTAAGGGTTTACAGATACCAGAAAATATCAGAATGGTGGCTGAAACTTACTGAAGTGGCTGCCTATTAACGTGTCTCTGGGATTTCAGGGTTACATTACTGGTACATGAGTTTATTTATGTATTTATTTTTATAAAGCCTAACTAAAGAGTTAGAAGAAGAGAGGCAGGGTGTTGTAGCATCTGTCTAATATCCCGGTACTTGGAAAGCTGAAGCAGGAAGATTGCCACAAATTGGAGAGCAGCCTGGAAGACACAGTGAGTTATAGACCAGTTGGACCAGCTTCAGCCACACAGTGAGACCCTGCCTCAAAACAACAATAAAGAAGGATGGGTCTCTGACTCTTTGGGAAATGTTCAGTGTAAAGATTAATTACTTCACAGAATTTGGAGAAAAGAGGCGAACATACCTATCTTCTCTCCCTTCTGTGTCAAGATCCGTTAAGGAGATAGCTATGGCAGCTTATTTGTTGGAAGTGAATCTAGCTGCCTTCTCTTGCTATATAATTAATGATTGCCAGCCAACTGTCTGATTGTCATCTGACTTCTTTGGGTCTACCAAAAGGAAAAGCATTTGCAGATTTGCAAATGTGTGTCTAGTTTGCTTGGTTTTGAAATTTTGAACCATTTTGAGATTAGTTGATGTGATTGTGTACCCTGGAGCCTAGAAAAGTTGAATTTTCACATCTTTTAGACTAAAAAAAAAAACCCAGATCTAATCTTGTCTTAAGTGTTTTTAGTAGGTCAGGTTAATTTTTCGCTAGAATTTGTTCCTCTGTTCTGTGAGTGAAGAAACTTCTCTCAGAGAGTCAATAGTGTGTTCCTTTTACAGAGGAGGGGTTGACACTGGCAGGCAAGCTGCCTGTTAACTGTAAACAGTCTTTAGTCTTGCTGACTCATTTACTTAAATAAATAGTCTCTTGTTTTTGTGTTAAAGTGTCAAGGCTAAATATCTGGAATTAAGACTGTATGTATAACCTTTGAAGCCAAAATTATTTACTATTGATCTTTTAGAAGAAAGTAAAGCTTAGAGGATTGTTGGGTATTTAGAATGATTGAAAATTCTCCAGATTATTTTAGAATCCAATTCATTATTCATTATCTTTGCACTTCCTTGAAAATTAATGTGTTGCATTGTATAGCTTGTGGTAGGTTAGCCTATCCCAACCTGTTTGTGTATATGTTTTCAGAAACAAATATAATACTTTATGGAACACTGATGATGTTGTAATAGGTTCTTTGATTATCTTACATTCATCACTACAGAGTGAATTAACAACTGGATTCAAATTTATATCCCACACCTTCAATTCCAGACCTTTTTCTTCACTACAACCAGAAATATAGCTACCACATATAAATGGTGAGACTAGGACTTGTCTAGTACTTATAAAGATTGCATTAGATTGGGGGCTGGAAATATTGCTCAGCAGTTAAAGAGCCCTAGTTGCTCTTGCAGCAGACTCAAGTTTGGTTCCTAGCATTCATGTGATGGTTCACAACCATCTGTAACTCTAGTTCTAGGGGATCCAATGCCTTCTGACCTCCACAGGCACTAGACACACATGCATATATGTGGGTAAAACACTCATCCATAGGAAAAAAAAAAGACTCTTTTAAAAAGTTCCTGATTTAGATACCCAGTACAGTGCAATTTCCAGATTTTTATGTCCCAGAAGCATTCTTCCTTCCTTTCTTTTTTTTTGGATGTGTGTTGTCGGGTAGGATTTGAGACAAGAGTCTCGTAGCTCAGGCTGGCCTGAAACTGACCCATATGGGTGAAGCTGACGTTGAACCCCTTCTTTCTTGCTTCTGCCTCCCAAATACTAGGATTAAAGGCCTAGGGGCACAAGCCTATCTCCGCATCTCTTAAAACCAGCCCTGGGTGGCTATCATGAGTGTAACTAACTACACTTGCTTGGTGGTTTGTTGTTTTGAGGCAGGGTCTCACTGTGTAGTGAGGCTGCTCTCAAGCTCGTGATCCTCCTGCCTCGGCCTCTCCACAATGGGATCATGGGCATGCACAGCTCTGTAATACTTAATTGTGCATACATTTGCTTATCGTCACAGTTGTCGGCTAACTTACATGACTTTACAAGGGTTTTTGTATGTGTACGTATATTTTTTTCCTTAGGTAGTTAACTTGCAGTACAGTGAAGTTCAAGATCGGGTCATGCTCACTGGTCGCCACATGGTTCGAGATGTGAGCTGCAAAAACTGCAACAGCAAACTAGGATGGATCTATGAGTTTGCTACTGAAGACAGCCAGCGCTATAAGGAAGGCCGGGTGATCCTGGAGCGCGCGCTAGTTCGTGAGAGTGAAGGCTTTGAGGAGCATGTACCATCTGATAACTCTTGAAGAAAAAAGATAAATCCGTCTTTTCCCAGGTCTCCTTCACTGAAAACAGAAATCTACTTACATACACTGTCACCTTAGCATCAGAGTCGGATTCATGAACTGCGGACAAGAGGGTGTGAGAATCTGAGATGGAACCTTTCTTTCTTTCTTTCTTTTTAATTTTGCATTTCCCATCCAACAGCAGTTTGTAGAGAGAACTTTTGCAGATGCCGTTAATTTTTTTCCTTTTGTTTACATCTCGAGGCAGATGAGTCTGCAGTTATGTGGTGGGCTGTGTGAGGGGAAAGTTGGCCCCTACAGTGAAAAGGAGTGTTTTGTGTACATTTTGCGTGGAGAATATGTCAAGAGCATGGTTTTTAAATTTATTTGGGCTTCGTTTTAAACTTTCTTTTAAACCCAGTTATTTCACTTAATTTGCTAGCTTCAAGAAGAGATCCGAATCTGTGCCCAGCGCTGGAGGCTCAGTGTTAGTGTGGCTTGTGCTGGCCAGTGTGCCATATTCTTGTTGGAGAGGAACTGTAGCACCAGAACCCATTCTTCCTTGTCAGTCCTGACCCACGATGTCACCACCCCTAGTTACTTGTCACCAAACACGTGGTGTTGATTGGAGATTTCCTGAAATGGGGCAGAACTGCTTGGCTGTCTTTCCCATGTAACTTAAGCATAGTAATATAAATAAAGTGATAGTTGGATGTTTTGGTCCTGTGTTACTTCTAAAAATACCTTATAAAAGAGCAGGAGTTTGGTAAGTGATTTTCTTAGTAGTTAGTTTTCTCACTCTTAAGCTATGTTGACTATGTATAAGGTATTTGTGTAAATGGAAGCATACTGTTTAAACCCACAGTATTGCATTTAGAAAACAGTTGAGCAGAAATTCAGTGTGCATCCTTGCATAAAGCATTAATCTGCATCTATTCTAAAAGAAGGGGAGAAAATGAAGCAGCGTATCTAAAAATACTGCTTCACAATGTGTTTCAGCCTTCCCCTCATTTGTGAGTTGACTTTGATAAGTCTGTAGACCCTAATAGTTTCTTCAAAGGACTGGTCTCTCCTTAGCATCATTTTTCCACATCTTCCCTTTGAAAGTTCACCAATCGCATTTGAACTGCACTTGATAATCTTCTATTGGTAGAGGTCAGGTTTTGACTCAACTTAATCCTAAATGTATGGCATTACAAGGTATCAGAATATGCTTCTTTGTCCAGTCCACTTATAGGCAAAGTGGTACTTGCTTTCGGTGGAATAAAGGACATTGAAATCAGCTAGTTATACAAATGAACAGATGAACATTTGTATGCTCAGTTTCCAGGTCGGCTAATAAAGGAAAAAAGTTGAAAAAGTGAAATCTTTCTGTCATTGATATTAAAAGTGAGTTGAGTATAGTAAAGCTTCTCATACTTGGCTTTGCACACTTGGTTAGGGGTATAGTTGCTGATTGAGTAGGGATAGTAATAATACTCCATTTACAGTGAGTGAACTCAACTGTCTTCAACTTGAACGAAATCTTCAAGATGTAAGAATAGTATTTGTTTCCACTGATTTCCACACTGGCCTGTGATGATATGCGGATTTCTAGTCGCATGCCTCACCTGCAGCACCGTGTTCATTGCTGTCAAAATAAAGTATATTTTGTTGTGCATTGGTGCAGAACTGTTACTTATTTTTTACTGATCTATTCAGTGACCATCTTTGTCATTTTTAATCTCTAAACGTAATTTTTATTTGTTTGTTTTGAGATGGTGTCTCACTATGTAGCCCTGACTGACCTGGAACTTTCTTGCTTTAATAGCAGACTGGTCTTGAATCCACTACTGAGATTTCAGGTGTGTACTACCACACTCAGCTGACTCTGCTTTTGAATAGCTATTACTTGTTTTGCTTGACAGTGGTAAAGTGATAGTCAATTTGCCATCATTAACTTATTTTGCCATAGCTACCTGGTTTAGTATGTATGAAAATCATTTGTTAATATAAGTAAATATCACACTGATAGGACACTTGGGTGTCTGGCAGGTTGAGCAACAAGCCACTTGTTACACCCTTCATTTTAAAGACTTGAATGTGCCACGTGGCGCCGTGGCAGAGTGCTTGCTTAGAGTGCTGGAAGACCTGAGTGTGATCGCTCACACTGCAGAAACAAAGATCCCATTTCGTGAATGTTTTACAAATTGGAGGAGGGTCTGGAGAAAGTAAGTACTGCTCTTCTAGAAGACCTGAGCTCCGTCCCTAGCACCGAAATCGAGCTGCTCAGAACTACCTGTAACTCAGCTCCAGTGGAGATTCAGCACCTCTGGTCTCTGAAGGCTTTTGTGGTCACATGCACATCTCCCCCAGTGCTCCCCCAACACATACACATAATGAAAAATAAACCTTTAAAGAAACATCTAGTAATTTTTAATTGAAGAATCTAGTCAGGATGGATTATTTACAAAAGATCAAATGGGAATATTAGGTACCAGGAATAAATGGGTGTGATAGTTCACACCTATGACACCAGCACTTCAGAGGCTAAGCTGCAAGTTTGAAGACTTCTGGGTTTCAGACAATTCCAAGCCAGTATGGAGAAATGTGGTTTAATTCCAAAAGTGTTATAAAAGCTAACAAACATATACCCATTGTTCCTTGTCCATTTACTGCCTCTTCCCTCCAGGAATCACATACAACATCTGATGTAGGGAAAATGAGTTGGGAATAGAGTAAACTGAAACTTTCCCTAGTACTGATTTGAAGATGTCTATTACAGGAATAGAGGAAAGGAGTAGAAATCAAGAGTACCGGGTATGGGACTCATGCTTGTGAGTTTGAACCAACATGGGTTGTATAGGGTAAGACCCTGTCTCAGAAAAAAAAAATGCATCACACCGAAAGTGGGTATTTTTATGGTTTCAACAAAAATAATGTGCGCATATAGTGCAGGCATGAACCTGCCCCAGCAGGTGTGTGGGTCCGTTCTTCCACAGTGTTTCATTTAAGCAGGGTCTCTCTGCTGCCTTACTGCCCACTCTCAGTGGGCTGGCCCACAGCCATCCTTGCAGCTCCTGTCTTGCAGTAGGAGTGCTGGAATTAGACATGGTAGCACCTACAACTTTTTACATGGGTTCCAAGAATTGAACTTAGGCTATCAGGTTTGCACAACTAACACATTGCCCCTGCTAAGCCCAGCCTTTATATGACTTCTTTATTTTTAAATATGCTTCTCAAATTCAAGTTTATATAGTAAGACCAGAAATAATGCACTGAGGTTTTTGTTGAGGGTTGGGATCCTGGACATCCCTTGACACAGTTAAGGTTTAAAATCGTCTGCTACATGACCACCTGGAAAGCTCACTGAATATGTAAAGTAAGTCCTTTATTTCTTTCTCTAATCCCAAGTGGCGTTTTCTTTTCAGGCAGACTATCAAAGTGGCATATCTGCTAATGTTAGTACACAAGGATCACTGTTTATTAAAATAGTACTTGGATATAAAATGTCCATCACAGGCTCATGTATGTGAGCCCTTTGCCCCATCTGATGGTACTGTTTTGGGAGGTTGTGAAACCCCAGGGGCATGGGACATCATTGGCTGATGTAGGCCACTGGGTATAAGCCTTGCAAGTTATATTCAAGCCCTGTTTCTCTCCCCATTTTCTGCTTCTTAATCTGCTGAGGTGTGAACAGGGTGCACTGCAAGCTCCCACCACCACTGTCCAACTCATTACAGTCACCATGCCTTCCCCTCTGTAAGGGACTGTACCCTGTGAAGCTGAGACCAAGGAAACATGTCTTAAGTTACTTCCGTCGTGTACTTTGCTACAGTGGCAGGAAGAGAAATGAACACAAAGTATTATAAATCAAAATAATTTTTCTTATGTTACTATGTGGCCAAAGCATGTTTGCTGCCAGAGGATCATAGAAGTGGCTAAGAATAAAAACAGATAATGTGACCTTATTTCCTGTTTAAAAAATAGTCAGGCATGATGGCACATACCTTTAATCATAGCACTAGCGGCTCAAGATGGGTAAATAAGAAGACAGGCATCTAGCTTAAAGATCACTGGGTACAATCCAAAAACTGGTTTCCCCTGTTGACTAACTTAATTGACTCTATGACTCTGAAAGTCAACTTCTAAGCCTTTGCAAGGGCTGACCGAAAAGCCCTTTCTCAAGTGATTCTTAGAATACCCTGCAAATGTAGGCCTTACAAATGTGTTGGTCATATGCAAGCTGTGGCAGAACTACTCTTCTTTCGTTTTAGCAATCTTGAACAGCTCTTCGTGTGTAATCCAGTTTGGTGCTGAGCTGAAGAGGGACCAGCTCTTGAGAGTTCTTCAGTCCTTTGGAGGGTCGACTTGTGCCGTGTTTGCTAGGCCTTTCAGAAATGAAGGCATTCAGTCTGCGCTTGTAACACCTTGTCGTCCTGACCTGTGCTTAGAAGGACTTTAGGTAATCTGCTCTGACAGACACTTGGCATAGCTTTGCGTCCAAAATCTTCAGTGCCCCTAAATTTCTACCACTGTGGAGCAGAAAGGAAGAGAAGATGAAAAGACTACTGAACACAGCCTCAAATTTGTTATTAGCTCTTGACTATAAGTGGGTTTTGGTTGGTTGGTTGGTTGGTTGGTGGGGAAGAGATGTTGAGACAGTCTCTGCTTCCAAGTCTGGTATTAAAGGCGAGTCCCACCATACCCTACCAGAACGAGACATTTTAATCAAACACGATTTATCATCTCACATTAGCCTCAGCTGTTTCAAAATTTCAACGGCATCTTGAGTTTTCTGTCCCCAGATAAGCCACATCCCTGCCCCCTTGCAAGCCAATTTCAATTTGCTCAGAGGCGATTCTGAAGCCCGCCAGTGTGCCAGGAGGAAGGAAAGTGTTCTTAGGTCCTACGCACAGGTGGGCTCTCAGGGCAATGGGAAGGTGGGCTCTAAGGTTGAGGCGGGATCCGTTTCTAGAGACCTGTGGCAGGAGCTGCTGCCAGGTGCTCCCGCTGAGCTTTGCACTGAAGGAAAACATTTTTACTATGAAATCATCCTAAACTGATCCCCTAACCAGGTGCTACTGTGACGGACTATTTTATTCAGTGGGTAGAAGTCAGAGTTAAACGTGGATGATAGACTGCAGAACAAGTATACAAATTGCTGTTTCCACCATCCGTGATACTCCCCAGGCCACCTTTGCTTTAGTGTTTACACCTCACACGCCTTCGATTTAAACAGCAACACCTTCTGTCAAACTATTTTCAACATTGATTTTCTTTTTGGTAATAGCAATCTAAAGTCACAGAAAATTGGTGTGACTTTTTTAATTTTTGATTTTGCTATATGTGTACTGGCGTTTTGCCTGCATGTAGGCCTGGGTCCCGCTTGCATGCCTGGTGCCCACAGAGGCCAGTAGGAGACGTCAGATTCTCTGGAACTGAAGTTACAGGCAGTTGTGAGCTGCTCAGTGGGTGCTGTGAATTCAACCTAGATTCCCTGGAAGGCCAGCTTTTAGCTGCCGAACCATCTCTCCAGCCACTGAAGTTAACCTCCTGAAACCTTATTTTCTCAATTTTAAAATAGAAAAAAAAAATTCTGAAAACCTGAGTGAAGATTTGAAGTGCATTCCTATGACAAAGGAAGTCCACTGAGCTACTTAACAACTGCTTAAACTCTTGGTTGTCAATGTGTTTGAGTGTTCCCTTACCCGGGCAACAGTACTTGAGAGCT